AGTAAAGAGCTAATACAACCCTTACGCGTATGCTTAACGGTTACATATGTACACACGCATAGAACCATACGCAAACATTCTACGAGGTCTAATGAAAAAGGCTTTGAAATAATTTACCTTCAGTAACAATTCATAGACACGGTCCATATCGGACAATTATTGTAATTCGGCCCCATTACGAAATATATCCCTTACATGTACCGAGCAATTCGTATATGAAACCGTAAGCCGTCCGCAGGCGAGCTTTAAAATTACCGCATTTATTGTAATATGGAGCTCAATACGTGGACTTTAAGTTGCATTTTGCGAATTGGCTTCGCAATTTAACACGGAACGTTAAAAATAAATACTTTTCCGTTGCAAATCACCTTTTTTATTTTACACAGTAACAGTAAAAAGTTCCTCCAAAGGAAGTAAATTATCTCGGACTCTTTTCATATTATACTCAAGCATTCACACAGTAATATTTTGTTTTAAAAACTTTTCTCATCAAACACAAAACTAATAGTTATACAAAACTAACAAAAATTGTAGGAAAACTATCAACTGATAGGAAGAGAGGCTTGTGTTGACTTTCGATCTCTGGTCATGTCCCTTCCAATTTCCTTTGAAAACTTTAAATTTATTAAAAACTGTGGATATCTTTCTCTTCCTCACTTCGAAAATTCTCTCAGATAAATTGCTCATACTTTCTATTGTTGCACAAATTTTGTAGGACCTCACACAATGTATATTATACAAAAGTACCATTGAGAGTAAGTAAGCAGCACTAATATCAAACGTGATGATACGTTGTGACGTAATTGATACGTACCGTAGCGTACGAATTAAGAATTAGATATTTAGAACAAGTCATTGCAAAACGTGATTTAGATTTCACCTGGTTCTTGGCACGTGTGAAATTTTATGGCTTTGGCTCGGCTCCCGTACGTCCTAGCAGGTAAAGCTGTTACATAATTTACAAGACCAACACTATCTCTGATACTTGAATGTGTAACTTGTACTAAACACACGCAGTATCCAATGGTAAATGATTGGTAATTGATTTATTACGAATTTAGTCTTACTTGTGGACGCCGAGAGGTCGAAATTCGACCATAATTAATTTAAATTATAAGTTTGAACAATAATAATCTATTCTCAAATACAATACACAATAAACAATAGAGTATTATTATATGCGTGTGTGTGTCAAAGACGTTGTAGTGTGCGTAATGTTTTCTATATTGTTTTAAAGTATTTTTATGCATAATTAAAAAAAAATATTCACTCCTTCTCTATATAAACTATAAATGTGGGAAATTTCATAATCCTCCGTCCGCGCAATTTTCGTAAAAAGATGTACAAAGTTTTTGCGTCAAGTATTAATATAGATTCTAATTTTAAGTTATTTTGATTTTAATCTTAATTTCCTAGATTTCAGGAGAAGCTTTGAGGAACAGTAGAAATAGAAAGACTTAATGATTATTGTATTATAATTTATAACGAATATCTGAATGAATAACGCGGTTTAACGGATTGTATCGCGTTTTACCTTGTTTTTAATTTCCAGACGTTCCTAATACCTTTTCAGAGTGTTTTGAACGTTCTGTCACTATTATTATTGAAACCGGGCTACCTTCAATGATATTATAACTTACTTTATTTCGATCTGCGCAAAAGAAGTTTGTAATGTCTTGAGGTCCCGCAATGACGGTGTGATTGGATTTAAACTTTAATAAATGACAGGATTTCAAGCTATTGATTACTCCCTGTCAAAGTAAGGGTTAGCAGTATGTGATCACATTTTAGACTGCCCCATGCATTACATTAGATATGATAAACTCCAATTCTACGTAGAATATCTGCAAGGCGATTATAATAAGGAAACATCCTAACTTCAAAAGAAAAGATTATTTGGGACCTGCTTGGAATCGTATTATTTAATATTATACCACCGATAAAATCCGCATAATATTTAAACATGTATCTCAGAGTGCATGTAATGATGGTTGCCAACTTTAATGAGCCTTGGTATCAAGCTCGCCCGGGCTATATCAGTCCCGTAATTAATTTAGTAAACAAGGTATAGTTTACCTTTTAATTACTTCATTGTAATACCAGACTTACATTTCGTTCGGTCAGTCAGTTGGAAATGTTTCACGTTTTCTTTAGAGTATTTACTCATATCTGTGGCTGAAATCAAGTAATTTATATAGCTTGCAATCAATATGTTTGGTAACATAATGGAAGAAAAATTGACAAAAGAATGACATCAACAAATGTTTGAGATCGTTAACTAATTATTATAGTAAGCTAAAATCTACTGATGGTTTTTATGTGCCAAACCTATCTTAAAATGAAACTTCTCAAGGACCTAACACTAACTTAATACGTTTTCAATAATTTAAGTGTTCTAACGCAAGATGATCATTGTATTAAATTATGGTAACGAACATAAATTCCTCAACATAATAGGAGCCAGCAGCATGCCGGATCTGAATAAATTTGAATTTCAAACATGCTTCAGGCTACATATTGGAATTGATAATGCTGTCCAACGCTCAAGAAGAAATCGATAACTTATGGACATCGATTATGAACACTGTGATGGCAGAGTAGATTGACCTCCGATTTAAGGGTTCTTCACGAGTTTTTTTTTTGCAAGTATTCATCCCCCACGGCAAGAAAAATATAAATTACTAGCTGCTGCCCGTGACTACATCTGCGTAAAATAGACTGAAGGCGTAAAATTCAGGCAGAAATACAGATATACATAAAATAAGTACATAAATTATAGCCTATGTCTTATTCTGATGTATAAGCTATATTACTGTAAAGTTTCTTTAAAATCCGTTCAGTAGTATTTGCGTGAAAGAGTAACAAACATCCATCCATACATACAAACTTTCGCCTTTATAATATTAAGTAAGGAAGTAAGGATTACATATAGACCTTGTCATACGATAATATTCTTCACTGCTATCTATGAATTGAATAATTGATTGATTTTAAGAAATATTTTCGTATGCTTGGTAGCAATAAGGTAAGCCTTATTACTACACAAGTTGGTATATTATATAGCGTGCTTTACACAGATCAGGTAAAACTTTCCTAACTATTTCATACTTCAAATACTCAATAATAAAATATCAAAAATAATTTTATATTGATTTTATACAAGCTGTTCAATTTAAGTGCATTTCAAACGTTTCTTGCCAGCTTTAATTTATTTATTTCCGCAAGTCTATTTTAGGATCCCGCTTCCCTATTCGTTAGTTTGTAGTGTAGTATGAAATAGGATTTTTCCGGATCTAACTTTTAAAGGCAATTTATGTATAAAAAAAAAACCTCTAAAACGCGATCGTGTTACCAAAAAATATAGAAAATAATTTTGAAATGATATTAAGCTTCACTGTTTCACATAATCATTTGTTTACGTTCTAATAGAATTCTTCAAATATTTATCATCTAATTTTCTGATGTGCCGAATTGCGGTATATAGATTGAACAATTGGGTGGGATGTATTTATCATCGCGGTAATAGATGGGAACTGCGCACAGCGCGTGCCAACGACTTGTGGTAAAGCGAAGTAATCAATCTCTATTTTAAACTTGCCCCGGGCAATAATTTTACTGGAGCGCAACTTACAATTTACACTTTGTTGTTTTGTTTTATTATGTTTTTGTTGAGAAGTTGTTTATTTTATTAATGAACACCAACATAATGTACAGTACGATATCAAATATACATTATGTGTTCGTTAGTGTCATTATAATTAATGGCACTGACAGCATGTAATAATATGGGCGAAAAAAATACAGATCATGGTAAATAGGTAATATTTTAATAAAACCCATTGTCAAAATAAGTGATTCATTTTGTTTTTATACTTAGGAAATAGATATAGAATTTCTTTCTTTTCATTACATAAAGTTTCAGATTTTTGTAAATTAAGCAACAAGAATAATGTTTTCATTTTAAAACCCCCTAATTTCATAACAATGGCTATAATATTACATGTCAATATGCGCCTGGCTTAATTTAATAGCATGAAAGAAGCCGATTATTTATGTCATTCGTGGGACATACCGAAAGATTCCGGCATGAATAAGAAAAAAAATACTATTAAAGGTCAAAAATGAACTTATTGTTTGTCAAAATATTCTCCCTTTGCGTAAATGCACGATTTCATACTATTAAAAGTAAAGAATCAGCCTATACTCGTACCACTGCTGGGCAAAGGCCTCCTCTGTACAGAGGCTATCAGCGCATAGTTCCACCACGTCTCCACTGCGGATTGGCGGAATTCACATAATATCTTCGAAATTTGTTTTTCGAAAATTGTTAGAAGTTGACAGTGTTGCAACTAGCATGGTCGTAGTGCATCATCTAATATTTAGATGACAGACGCTTAGATGCACTTTTCACGCGCGTCGCTTTGGTTGGTTTCGGCTCATTTTGAAAGACCCGACTCGATAACGCTCAACTGCTGCTTTGTTTTGGGATCGTAGCAATAAATACATGTTTCGTCAGCGGTTACTATATCGCAAACAAATTTTGACGCCCTTTCGTTGAATCTGCTAAGCATGGTATTGCACTAAGTGACGCGGTCCATTTTTTGAGCCTCGGTCAAATTGTGTGGGGTCCACCGCGATCATAGCTTTTTCACACCTAAATGTTTGTGAAGAATTGATTGTATTTGACTCATCCCTATGTCTAAGGATGCAGTAATCTCATGGTTAGGTCACATGCTTGTCTGTTTCGATCAAACGGCGCACAATATCGATGTTTTTATTGTTCAAAGCAGATTGAAGCCGAGCGAGGCTTTGCTGCACTGGCAAATTACACGTTTCGTAAAAAATCAAACTACGAAAATTAGTATAATAATTATTCTTTGCAAACAAGATATTTACTAGTGTGGCACTATCTTTATGATAATCACATCTTTGAACTAAACAAACAGAAAAAATCTTTATATACGGGAAACTTAGTTGTAAGAAGCATTGTGTAAGTTGTAATGGAAACCACATATCGGGTGTTAATACAGCAAAAATGGGAGAAGTTTGCTGGAACAGGTACGGACCACATTTTATATTTAAATTGTGTTTTCATAATTGCTTTTAAGATGTTTTAACAATGTTTACATAGTACGGTTAGTAAATATTTTAAGAAAATAAAGAAGATATTTTTACTACTTTTTTACATTTTTAATTACATTGAATGTCAGTTTTAAAAAGAAAATCTTAAGTAACGCTTGTAAATGACGTTTAAGCAGTTGGCTGAAATTTTCGCGCTGGAAGTGCGAAACTTCAACTTAGCTTGGTTAAATATTTTGAAATAATTAACAGTGTTTGAGAATTAATAGTGTCCATTGGCGTATCGTTGAAAACCGCCAAAAAATAAAAGAAGAAGAAGAAGTGCAGAACTCGAAGATCTAGGCTTCTTGGTTTCAGGACAGGGAAATATAAAAAAAGAGACATGTCTTGTGAAGGCCATAATCGAGCTAGAGTTGCGCGTTCACGTTTTTCCCTAGGAACCGTATAACCTAGGCTATGTCTCACGAATAAGTCCGTGCTGTCGAAATTGAGCTCACAACTCGTGTAAGCCTTATAACTAAATTTCTGTGCTAATATAAATATTTAAATATAAAATATTATAATATTTTTTGCTACGGCTGGAAATTAAATTGTATACCTACCAATGATTGTCCCCTCGTAGATGTGAACTACTTAAATACAGCTTAAATGTATAAAAACTTACAGAATTACTGTAAACTGAAGTTTAAAATGGATATTTTTAGTCCTGACTTTGAGAAGGCTGATTATTATTATAAGGTTAATAATAATACACTGTCCGTGTGTCGACTAAAAACTGATAATAATATATACTTAATATTATCAAATAAAACCCCAAAACTCTTCAAAATCTAAAAATAAACAAACAACGTTGTCTGCTTTTGACACGGTAAAATAAATTATAACAATTTTAATGCGGCAGATTTTCTATTTTCATTCTATTTACTTTATTTCTCATTTACTTTATTTCTCATCTATTTACTCTTTGTTATAAAAGTTTCTTGTCATCTATTTACGTACTTTACACACTTATTTTCAAAGATTTCTTGAAAGATCCTTTATTTTAAATAGTAAATAATTTATTTGGTATTTTATAAGTCTCCGTGTTTAGTTTAAATTTACTTGAAAAAGGAGAATAATGCAAGTGTTGATTCACAAATTACTTCATCACTTACAGATCATTACTTTTCAATGTCAACAAAGAAACATAGACAAACAAAACAATTTTCAAATTATAATGTGCGATATTTTATTGCTACACACGTGTCGAAGTCATCACCATGACCATGGATATATACGGGGCTTGTTCTACTCCTTAAGATTTTGGCATATGCGCAATGATTCTTTGTAAATATAATTTTGTTAATGTCTGTTTGCTCAGAGTAGCTGAATTGTAAATTGCATGGCGACTTCACTTCACTTTTATAATATTTGAATAAGATCTCGCAGAGAGTGTGAAATATATTTTTTGTTAAACATTATCACATTTTAGCTTTTCATACATGGCATTGATTTACAAAGGTTTACAGATGACTTCCATCTGTATCTGCCTTAGATTTTGTAGGCAAAAGGCCACCTATACCTTTTTTTTAGGTATCGGGGGGGGGGGAAATCTTCAAGAGATATCCTTCACGTTACATGACAGGGTTATGTGAGGTTCTTACCCACTAAAACCCCCTCGGTGGCCACCCTCTGTACGTTTGGAGGGACTCCGGGATCTCCCACGCACCGGTGTCCCTCGGTACTGCGCGTGAGCACTCCCCGGAAGGTGAAGGATAGCTTCCCCGGTTCCCTCACCATCTTGCAGCAGCTCGAGACCACTTCGAGCTGCTGCCAATCCGTGTCCCCTTTTAGTCGCCTTTTACGACAGGCAGGGAATACCTTAGCCCTATTCTATAAGCCCGCGACTACAGGCTGGGGCCACCTATACCTAACTTGACTCAGGGTTGACAAATGACAAATGTATTTTCGCTTGTTGAACTCAACTGTTTTTATACAAAAGGCAAGTCAATCTACTTATTAACACATTTTTTATTGCGCATGACAATTATGTGAAATTGTATACAACTTTTATGTCCTGATTTTATCGCAGATTGGCTTGTATTTTTTTGATGGATTTTAGATTCTCTGTTTTTTTTTGGATTGAGTGTTATTAATAAAGCTAAATCAAAAGTTATCGGAAGTCATCTCTGACGTTGTGAAAAATGGTTATAACATTGTAAATAATTTTCCCAGTATAGGATATATTTCTTATACAACCATTCTAGTCCCGGTTTTTTTCAACATATTTTTATATGTATATTTTTTGTAAATAAATACATGTTACAAATAAATAAACACCCAAACATGGGGAAAACACTATATTCATCGTACAATATTTCTCCAGCAGTGGGAGTTGAAACCACACCCTCTGGCGCAAGACGCAGGGTCACTGCTCATTTGGCCATTCATTCTATTTTAATGCTTTTCCATATTTTTCTTTAGTAGATAATATCAAGGATACTGAACAGAAATCATCTAACGAGGAATTGGATATTGCGCTGAAGGAATGTGGCTTCGGTCTCTTCCACGTGATGCTTCTACTCGCCTCACTCATCGGTTTTATAGCCGGCACAAGTGTGAGCAACACGACACCGTACATACTACCCATTGCCGAGTGCGACCTCGACATGAATCTGTTGGAAAAGGGTTTCTTGAATGCAATACCTTTTGTTGGTGAGTGTTTCCATGAAATATTTATTTAAACTCGTCAGTTATAAATGTCATTTTATAAGTTATTTATTACTTGCTGCCCGAACAGGCTTTGTCCTTTTTTTATAGTGTTAAAACCTTCCGTGGAACCTTAAGGAACATACAAAAAAATAAATAAGCCGAATTGGTAGAGCTATTCTTGAGCGGCGCTTACCAACATTAATTTTTATTTATTAAGATTAGGCATAAGCATAATGAAACTTCTTTTAACATCAAAATCCCTTGAATGTTTAAATCTTCTTTGAACTACAGGTTTTTTAATTTCTAACATAATTTCAGATTTTTGTTTGTATAATTAATAATATCCTAGTTTAATTTAGCTTAGTTATACTAAGCAGAACTTTATTATAATAGTTTCCATAGTTTTAGAAGCTAAAGCTTTGCATGGTCAAAAAAGTTTAAGAATAGTCTCTGTCTATCACAGTAACACAATGACACAAAAAAAAATAATGTTTAAAAATATCGCAAAACTCATTCGTGACAATAGGTCACGACAATGTACAGGCGATATCGATTCAGTGACCTCATTTTTTGCATAATTAAGTCTAGTCAATCTTATTGTACCTTTGTTTAAAAGTTCAACATTATATTTACAATTTTATACGAGGGGAAAAGAGGCATTATCCTTCGCAATTACGCACACTTGTATCGTTCTGTCAAGTTTAAGTTGCCGATTTCAGTTTGCTTAAAAAAGGTAATCTTATCGTAAATTAATCTTTTTCGTAAATCGATTAAGTATTAAAATTTGTGTTTGCTTAGTAATTAAATATACGTCAATTAATTCTCTTAATTTAATTTAAGTTCAGTAAGCGGTACGTAGGTATGTCTTGTGGTTAAATCGCAATTTTGATTCTATGCTCACCTTAGGACAGACCCGCACTACACGCTGTGGTGCTAGCCGAGGGTCAAATGCGGGTCCCTACGATGATGTGTATCCATATTTCGCTAACAAGGGTCACGGATATGTTACGTTCTGAGCCATGGTTTCCTCTTCTGATTCAATGGGTCAATACCTTCGGACTTACACTGTACTACTCTAAACAAATAAAACAACTGATGCTTTTTACATAGGGCACAATACAATTATAAAAAAAAGATAGAAGAAAAGAATCGACTGATGAACCTTCATAGAGTCTACCCAGCCACAGCTCTTTATTATGGTATTATTTCATAACATTTTTATTAAGTCTATTCTTGTACATTATTGTATATCGCAGGAATGACTATTACATCGGTTGTTGCTGGTTCCCTCACCGATGCCTTTGGAAGGAAAACTTTTCTAGTATATGGATTGGGTGGCCTATTTTTGTGTACATTGATGGCTGGATCCAGTCAAACCTATCTTATTTTCGCTATAGCGAAATTCCTAGAAGGAATGCTGTGAGTAACTATTCTTGTAATGGATAGTACACATTTTCTTTTGTAAAACTGAAAACTTATCCATTATCGATGGATTATTTTAGGCGAGACATCTAGTCGTATAAAACTTCGACCCAAGTGTGAATTTAAATCTTGAAAGTTATTTTTAGTACCCCAAACTTAATAAATGTGTTTACCTTTGCTGTTGCCCGAATGGGCAGGTTCATTCGGGTAAGTACCAAGACCTCACACAGACCAGCGTGAAGTGGAAGGATACTTCTGTGTTTCGTCTGTCGACTGAGGTAGCCGGGCCCACTTTATTAAAAGGTACGGTCACTTAATATCAGATGAACCACTGCACGCGTGCCACCTTCTCACATAAAATAAACATTTTGGTAGCAATTTTTTTTAAATGTTTCTGCTTTCAGTCCGGAGACTATTAAAGCTTGATCGAAGGAAGAACTTTTGGTTCAAATACGAACCACCGCGTTGCTAGGACCGCGCACATGCTCATTAGTGTGTTATCTTAAACGGGAGTCACCCACTGGCTATGTTAGGGTACCTTGTGTACGTGTTGTGTTTATGTATGTTAGCGCTATGTATTGGGTGCAGTATAGTGGGACCACCAGTGGATCAATGTACCTATGTACCCATCCTCGACTTGGCCCATATACGTGGCGTGAGCGACGATTGTAAATGATCACGTTTATGTCGGGTTGGTAATTCGTTGAGTTTCCTAACAGAGGATTGCAATGGTTTTTGGCTTTTTGATAACCCATTTAACTAGCTCTTTAAGGTGCTCGAGTAGCATCGTGTGTCTGTAACAGCTATACAACACCTAGCACCGGTAAAATTTCTGATATTTTCCTGCCAATTAAACATTTAGCAAAGTTAAAGCAATAAAAGAATAATAGAATGAATTAACCGACCTTATATTATATTTTATTCACAACTTTGAAAACTATTGTACTTAATTCAATACTAATATTTTATATTACGCTTATATAGATATGCGATTTCGTTCAATCCATTAATGACGCTGACATCAGAGTTCTGTCACAACGGCATCAGGGACAGTGTGATGATGTTTCAGTTCTCATTTCTTGCCATCGATCAAATTGTCATTGCCCTTATGGCTTGGGGGATACTCTCTCGGAACTGGAGAGTTTCACTTTTCCACGGCCATTTCGGTGAGTACAATAATACTGGCATTAACATTGTTAAACTAATTGCTGCTACTTTTCAAAATGTCTATCAATGGAAGTTAAAATTCAGAGTTTAGATTATAATATTATGATTTATTAATTTAGATTATATAACATTTATAACTGCTAACCAATCCTTTAGATTGGTTAGCAGTTATATAATGGGTAGGTAATGGTTTCTTTAAAAAAAAAAAAAAGGTTTTAGATTTTAATATGGACAAAATCTAAATTTAAAGAGTTCTGTAAGACTTCGATGTACGGTTAATTCAATAATGCCATGATAGGTCCCTTCTATTGCTAATAAATATAAGAAATGGTAAAAACACCATAGTCACCACAGGTAACTGAAGTAGGGCCACGCAACAGTTTTCACTGTTGCACGAATAGGCAGGTCCGTCCGGGTGATTACCACGACCTCACAGAACACCAGCGTAAAGTAGAAGTGCGACACTTCTGCGTTTCGTCCGGTAAATGAGGAAGCCGGGGCCTACTTTATTTATAGGTGGCAAGGTGGTTATTACTTAAAAACAGGTGAAATGCCAGCTCGTTTCCCACTTTTTCACATAAAAGAAAACCTCTTGTGAATGCCAAAACACATAGGTTTGTAAACCGTGGTAGTATTACTTTCATTTATTCATATTATCTAATAGAGACATAAGAAGGAGATCATATATTTTTATAAAGCTTTAGTGCCTTATGTATTCACTTTAAAATGATTTCTAAAGGGAATTTGATGACTCCGTGGCGCAGATGCCAAGGCCACGCGGTACAACTATTTGTGTGACCCACAGATAGTTGTTTCGCATCTGGGTGTTTGTCCGCGTTCAATTTATGTTTGTAAAACGTCCTTACAACACAGGATAATAATAAAACCAAAAAAACCAGACGAGAAAACAAATAAATACCCCCAAACATAATAATAATAATATACTTTATTGTACACCAAAAAAATCAAAATGAAAAAGTACAAAAAACAAAATATTTAACAAAATATTGGTTATCAAAAGGCGGCCTTATGCTACACAGCAATTTCTTCCAGGCAACCTCAAAAATTTACCAAAAGGAATTGTTGATGGGTAGGATGTACATGAAGGAAAAAAAAAATAATAATAGTAAAAAGAAAGTATCAATTAAAATAATAAGAAAAACATACTTCAAGTGAGTGATCATAGAGTTAAAGGTGAAATTAAAAGGGGTAGAGAGGGACGTCGAAAGATAGAGAGGAGCTAGACAGACAGATAATGCTCCTTAACCTGTTTTTTAAAAGAGTCTAGGGTTTTAGCACGTTTTATAGCCAGAGGTAAAGAGTTCCAGAGTTTAACAGCAACAGCAGAGAAGGATTTATGGTAAAAACTAGAGGATTGCATAGGATGTTTAAGGAAAAGGTTTTCATTTGAACGTAAAGGAAGATTATGAGAGGAGCAAAGAAATTGAAAACGTTCCTTCAAATATTGCGGACTTGATACGTTAAATAGGACGCAGTAAAGAGCAGAAAGAATGTGAGTATTTCGGCGAAAACGAATCGGGAGCCACTTGAGCTTAATGCGATATTCTGATACATGGTCGTATTTACGAAGCCCAAATATGAACCGTATACATAGGTTTTGGAGTCGCTCAAGTTTATTAAGCTGCTCCTCAGTGATGTCGAGATAGCATATGTCAGCATAATCAAGGAAAAAAAATATCCTAAAGTAAGGGCAACGTTTAAAAAAATCAGTAATTTAATTAATTAATCAGTTAATTAATAATAATAACTAAGGATGTGATAGAACCACCAATTAACCACAAGAATTAAAATTTACTACAGCTTTACCAAGCTTACAACTTATAAATAAATTCTTTCTTTTTGTCGTTTCATATGAATCTAATCTGATTAGTTTTGCTTATAGTTCTTAACACCTGGAACTTCTATATTTTCGTAATGTCCCTGTGGGCAATGGCGGCGTGTATTTTCTACGCATTTATACCCGAAAGTCCAAAATATTTCCTATCACAATGTAAATATAATGCTGCAAGAGAAATATTAATAAAAATTTATAAAACAAACACAAAGAAGCCTGCTGAATCATTTGCAGTGAGAAACTTATGTATATTATTTAGTCATGTTTCTTTATACGTTCATCATCATTAACCAGAAGACGTTTTTACGTCTACACATTTAAACTAATCAGTCTAAACATTTCACAATTTTTGTGATTTAGTCATAATAACATATTGTGTTACTGATAAGAATAATATGCTAATAATGATATATTTTTCTTATTTACACCCTCAAACTGTGCATTAGCTAAAAATCCCACTCAATATGTATACTTGTTTAACTGTGATAGGTCCACCCAAAAGCTTTGACTATTGCACGAATGGGTAGGTCCATCCTGGTGAGTGAGGTATCCAGGGCTCACTTTATTAAAAGGTGGCAACGCCTACTACGGGTGTTGCAAATGTCCTTTAGCGGCGGTTATCACTTAAGATCCGGTGAACCGCCGCCACACCTGCCACCTTCTCTCATACAAAAAAATTCAGACGGACTAATTTCATTATTTTCAGTACGCAGATTTATGGACGAAGGCCGAAAAGCGCGAAAGCAGAAGTTCATTGCGAAGAGAAACGCTAAAAAGCTTCAAAAATCATTTAATGAGCGGTTTTTGCAACTTGAAACCCATGATTCGGAAACCATTATTCTAAGTGTGATGAACTTTTTGACTATGTTACTGTAAGGCCGTATTTGTGACTGTTTTATTTTGCATTCTTTATTAAACTGTATGTAACAAATTGTGGCGGGCGGTTATGAGACCTTCATGCTTTGAAGTTATACTTCTTTTGGCGTTGTAGTGGTCGCAAGTTAACAAAAGGAACTAACTATGAGTATCTGTGTTTCACTGGCTCACTACTACACACAGCTCCGAGCGTAGGCGCACGTCTTTACCGTACCACAACAAATCACTACAGGCGCGTTTGTAAAAATTATTGGAGTAAAATTTTTACGCCGCGCGCGCACAACGGCCCTCAAAAAGCGACATAATGCTTGGTAGCCAATTTAATTATTGGCGTATTCATTGAAAACCGCCAAAAAAGAAAAGAAAAAGAAGAAGAACCAATTTAATTTTGACAACCAATAATTTTTTTTTGACATTTACCAACAATTCCAAGTTATTGGAATAAACCGTTATAAATTGCATTTAATGTCTTTACTCTAAAGAAGTATAATTTTTTACGTGAGTACATAGATACACACATAATTTCTATTTAAAAACCCACGAGATCTTTGTTATTCCTTAAATGTGTGTTTTACTTATACTTTCAAATCTGACTGACTTCATTAAGGTGCAATTTACAAAGGAGTTTTGTTAAACCATTAAATTTTGGATTGACAAGACGTTACTAAAATGAGCTTGATTGATTCACAGATA